TTTATCTTTTATTTTATAATTTTATATTCTAATAAAAAATTAAAATATATAAGATTTTTGTTAATGACATTTTATACATTATTGATTTACATAGTACTTTCGAGAAACATGTAGTACTACATATATAGTTGTATAAGATATATTTGTATAATTTATATAATTTTCTATAAAAGTGTATTTTCATAGCAATCGATCAAATATTTCAAATTAATATTTTTATTTTTCTAAATTATGTATATATATACGTGTATATATATCTGAAAAGTAAATACAAATTACAGGAATATTAAAATTATTGAATATTAACATTAAAACATTGTTATTATAATTATATTAAATATTTATTATTACTATTTATAATTATTATTCGTTTCGAATTCTATACAATAATTTTAAATATAGTAATTATAAATTATTTAATAGATAATATGAAATTTTCCAATAAATATGAAATATTGCATATTAAATATTATTATTATTATTTGAAAAATGTTTCTCATTATGACTTATTATGTACCTTCCCGTAGAAATTTAAGCGCGCCATTTATGAATTACAAAACAACGATATAATCGAAGTAATAAATATAATTTATGTAAAATTTATTATAAATTTTTTAATTATGAAATATCATTTATCAATATTATTTACTATCATTCATTATAGATTTAGTTTAGATATAGGTTATATTTGTCAATAATTTATTAAAATTTAATAATAGAAATAAATATTAATAAATTTAATTTTTTAATAAATTTAAAATAAATTTATTTCTATTATATGACCATTTTACTGTAAACATTTGTTTTAAGAAAAATTTATAAAAAGAAACTAATAAAAAAACATAATCATTTTAATTTGTATATAATTAATTTAATTAATTGAATAATTAATTTAATTAAAATTTAGTATTATTACAGTCATATCGATATCAAATAGAAAGATCGATAATTCTTCAATATTCAACTTTGTATTTGAATAGTTTGGATGTCATCATTCATTTTATTAATCTATTAGAAATTATTATTAGAATTCATTATTTGGAAATTTAATTTATTTGATTTTCTTGAAATATTTAAAATATAATTCTGATATGCATATATAAGTGCTTTTGTATATTTCAAAAAAAAACTTATAAATTTTTAATTGATTATACAATAATTGTTCCTCTTTAATAGAAAAAATTATAATTATAAATTTTATAATAGAGTTATATTTATCTTATATATATATTTTATATATTTATTTAAGAAAAAATAAAAAAGTTATACATAAATGTTAAAAAAATGCAAATTTGAAATTAAATGTGGTAGAAATTATACATATATTGTATATTTTAATATATTAACATTAAAATCTAATTCTTAAGTAATATATTTAATATCATTCAATAAATATGAATATATCAAGTAAAAATTGTCTCGGATAATTCAACATTATTAAGAAATATAACAGGATTTTTTTAGGGAGTGATAAGTGTAAAATATAAACAGATAAAATTGAAAAGAGGAAGAATATTTTATCATTTTTAACACGTGCACAGTACATGTATTTTATTAGTATTTATCACTTGGATATTTGTTATGTGAAATATGCTAGTAATAGAAACATTTGAATATTAAAATATTAATATTAATTAAAGTTTATTAAATAGTGCAACTTTTTTCTAATTTCATTTGAAATAACTTGGAATCAGTTATTTTGTATATAAGGTATATAGGATATATAGATTCACTTTATATACCAGGTGATTCATTTTGTATACCGAGTGATTCACTTTGTATATATAATTGTTGAGATAATATATAATGAAAAAATAATATAAACGAATTAAGAGTTAAACAAAAAAAAAAGATAACAATAATTAAAATTATTGTTTGAAGCTTCGTTTCTGAATATAAGACGAAAAACATAAATTTTATTTTTTTTTTTTTGATTTTTGCATATCAAATCATCTCATTATTTGATTTTATTACTTTAAATTAATTTATTCTAAAACACATTAATTAATCTATGATACTTTATTTCTTTTCTAGATAATATAAATTTTAATATTATTTTAACATTTTAATATTGGATAATATAAATTAATATAAATTTAGATTTGATATTAAAAATTAAATATTAAAAATAAAATTAATTTTTTTTTAAATTTAATTTATATTTTTAATTTTTTTTTATATAAATTGAGTTTATCGATATTTGAAATACTTTAAAGTATATATCTATATATATTTCAAATAAATAAATTAATTTTATCATATAAATATTTTTAGGATTTTTAAAGATTAATAAGTTGAATTATTATTTATTGATAATATATATATATATATATTAATGATGAATATAAATGTCTTTAAATAAATATTTTTTTTAAAACAACTAATTAAAAAATAATAAGAAGAATGATAAATTTTATAAATGATATTTTTTGTATATCAATTGATATTAACCAAAATTAATATTTTGTTTCAGATGGAAATGGCAATCGTTACTAAAAATCGTTCGATGTGAGATTATCAGCATTTGTCGTACTGAGCATGTAGATGCTTATGTTCTCAGGTAGATATTTAAACTTTATATAAATATTTAATATCTTTAATATTATTTTATTTTATTTTAATGCAAATGTAAACTTTATTATGCGTATATTGGTTATTATATATATTTTATTATTAATTTGCTCAAATATCTAGAAGAATATCAGAAAATACAGAAAAAAATTTGAGATGAAAATTATGAAGTTGTAGATTAATAATTAGATAAATATACTTCTAGTTTACATCATGGTTTTTATGTTCTATATTTTAAAAATAAATCGTGCAAGAGATAAATAAATTTCATAATTATCTTTATATTAGCTAAAATTATCTTTAATCTTTAGTTAAAAAATATCAATTCTCTTTAAAAAAATTTAATACAAATTTAATACTTTATAATGTTTTATAACATTAAAATAAATCTAAGCATAATTGGTTTTCTTTTATACTTTATATTTTTATATAAAATATTTTTCTGTATTTACATATTTTTCAAAATATATGCTTGTAAAAATTAAAATAATAAAAAATAAGAATTTAAAATTTTACGGTTAACTGAATGAAAAATAATTATTTAACAAAATTTTTAATTAGTTTTATTAAAAAAATGAAAAAAGAAATGAATTACTGAAAAAAAAGAAAGAAAAAAATGTGATGTTTATCAAAAATATTTTGCAAGCAAAGATAAATAATTATATTCTTTTTTTTAACTTTTATCATTAAGTTTGAGATAATAAGATCATTAGAATAATATACAAATTTTATATTTTTCGATTAAAATTATGAAATTAAATAAATTTTTAATCTATAAAGAACAAATAGTACAATTTTCATATTGTGAAGATACAAATACAAAATTTTATCAAACGCATTAATATCATGAAAAAATAATTTACGATACATTATCATTATGTATTTTAAAGATTTCTTGAAAACAAATATATACAAATTAAATATATACTTGTTATATATTATAATTAAATATATACTTGTTATATTATATAATTAATATTATTAAATATATATTGTTATATATACTTGTTATATATTAAAAATAATATATAACAAGTATATATAACAATATAATATATGATATATAATATATGATATATTAAAAATATAGGAATTATTGATATTTCCTTAGATTATATTTGTTTATTCTATTTTCTTATTTCTTTTT